AAAATAATAAAAACATTTATCATTTCTAATATTTATTTCAACAGCATAATAATAATAATAATAATAATAACACACCCACCACATACTCGTAGATATACGCCATACTGCATTTACTTGACTTAGATTCGTAAACGTGGTTCAAACCAGCTAACAAGCTGAGAAGAATAAAGTAAATAATAATAATGACACACACACTCATAGCCCCGCACTAGGGAAACCCTGTGTCGCGGGTGCCATGGACACACACATAGTCAACCACAAATTACACCCAAAGTCACGAGAGAAATAAATTTAGGCCATACATATAATCTATTTCTCCTGGGTCTCGACCACTGCATGGCAGACCAGAAGCGTGGTAGCCGTTCGACCACGGAGGCAGTTGAAATTGTCAAAGAATAAAAAAGTTAAAGATAGTGATTACAATTTGATCACAATAAAAAATAATATATTACTAAATAAGTATAATATTATTATAGAGCTCTTAGGTTTTCGCTATTGTTACACATAGGAAATGAAACAATTTTTTCCCCATGTCCCATGGTCACGGCCACAGGTCACGGTGGACTATGTATAGTATTATTGTCATTTCCACAACAGGCTTTATCCCAAACCATCTTCTCCATGTAATATATTTTTAATATATGCCAAATTGTCAGAAAGTTCATGGTCCTTTTTAATCGCGGTCGTTTGTCATTGTGGTTATAAACCGCCGAAAGGCACTCAGCATGTACGCATAGATAGAAAAAGACGAAATAGCCTTCACCCTACAAAAAATCATGGTAATAAAAATCGAGTACCAGAAACCAAAATAATTAACTGAACTTAAACTAGGATATTCCCAGTACTATGAGCACCAAGTCAACGGAACGCCGCGACACTACGCAGAACACCCATTTTTTTATTTCCGTAAATGTATTTGTAGCGATTCGCTACAAATCTCTTTGTATATATTTTATAATACAGTCTTTTTTAAGCTTAGTTTTATACTTAAAGTCTAAATTTAAATGTGTTTGTTTTTGGCGCCTTTTCTTGACTTTGTTTAGGGTTTGCTGTTTTGCTTTAATAGCCACGTGGTGTTTTAACCGACTTCAAAAAAAGGAGGAGGTGCTCAATTCGACTGTTTTTTTTGTATGTGTATTACGCGATAACTTCGGTATGAACCGATTTTTATGATTCTTTTTTTGTTGGAAAGAGGGTCCCTCCATAGTGGTCCTATTTATTTTGAAGAAAATCATTCACCTCTAAGAGTGGCTGTTCACGCATGAAGACTCATTTTTATAAATAGCGCCTAAATTTTATTATAAGGAGCAATTATTTTAATGGTTGATTTTGCTATTCTCTAATTCAGTGCGTTTCTCTCTCTCAATGTTCTTTGAATAGTGAGAACCGATTTTTATTATCTCCTGTGTCAAGTTCCGTATAGTGGCGAACTAGGGGATGAATCCGGGTTTGCGCACTTTCCGGTAACAATTTGAAAAAAAAATTGCAAATAGATTTAATTCCACGTAATTTTAAGGTCGGTTTTTTTAGTACTCTGTACTGAGATTATGTAATAAAAATTAATAAACTGTAAGTAGATTTGCTTGGTCTTGCTCACTCGTTGTTCGCACCCACCCTGTAACCCATTCATACAGTCCGCTACAGTATTGAAAACCAGCCAAAAGGAAGAAAAAATAGAGTACCAGACAAGCACTTCATTAACATTAAACATAAAAAATGGTCTCAAAGCAGGAAATTCCCAATACCATGAATACCATGTAAAATTTATCAAAGAGCTAAAGTTAAACGTATAAAAGGTACGTCACTAATAATTACAATATTATGTAAAGAGATTGGCCACAACTAATTATAAACAGTATTCGGAAATTCTTAGTTCTCATCTAAGAATAGAACTTTATTCATTCCAATAGGAAACGCGTTATGTTTTCGAATCTAAACCGCGTATAATTTGTTTCTTCTAACAACTCGTTTTACAAGTCCCATCGTCTCATGGTTTGATCTGTCAGCCATGACCATGGGACTTGTAAAGGGACCGACACGTTGGTTTGTTTGAATGAACAAATATACATGATTTAGATCCAGAAAATATATTGCATTCCTATCAAAAAGGTAGAAAATATAGATTATAGAAATACTTGGACATGATTGTACACCTACCTACCGTGATAGAGCAATACTGCCGTCGTAAGTTGAAAGGGTGCATGTGACACTTTTTCAAAAAATGAGTTACATGTACTGCCGTGATCAGCAAAAAAGACAAAACTGCCACAATTTTTTTTTTCCTAGATGGATTAGGTATGAAGTTACCGTAAGAAAAAAGGGCGAAGTACCCACACTTTTATGGTCAAACTGAGTTAATTGGACGCATTTAGAAAATAAATTGGTAAAAAGGCGTAATTGCCTAGATACACAATTTTGTTTCAACTACACATTTCTATCATTTAAGTAAATGAAAAGATGCAAGTCACATTTTTCCTTCATCACAAGGTACCATCTTCTTCAATTAAAGCTGTACATGGGTATATGTATTTACCGATGCTTACATAAATTTAAAATAAAGTGAAAATGTTACCTCTTATTTAATGTAATAAAAATTTTAAAAATGTTAAGCTACGACACATTGAAAAAAAATTGCCCTTTCCTCTTATTATTACACTAAAGTTAACAATAGTGTTGCGCCCATCTTACCTAGTATTGAGTATTTTATGAACATTTTTTTACTAAGATGAAAAGGAAAAAGGTGAATAATTTGATAATTGAGCATAAATAATTAAATATTTTATTTTTACATTATGCATATGATGTAAACCTATTATATTGCGTTTACAGCAAGTGTCTTTGTCTTTTCGTTTGGCGACAGCAGACATTTTTCTGTTTTTTTTCTTTGAACATTATTTTCTGGGATTTGACTTTTTGTCACAAGCGCCCTTTTAACTAAGGGCGGCAGAATAATAGAATCTCAAGTACTACCGCACACTAAACACTATATACTACACAAAAACTGGTGGGAAAAGATATACCATTTCGCACCCCTCATGGAAGAATGGCATAAGTGGAGTTACGTCAAAAATGTTTATTGCTCCATTAGATACAGAAAAATATAACCCACATCCTCTCCAATTCATGTAACTCCTTAGTCGATAAGACTGCCATTGCTCCATGATGAGGGGTGCGATTTACTTCTCAAAAAACGTCGACTGCCCAAGGCGAGCCACGTGTACAGTCAAGAGCAGAGCAAGTTTAACATTTTAAGCTTTGACTGCTCCAATCGCAAAAGGGATAGAGTTGAATTTAAACCAAACCCAGTACCATAACGGCTATTTCTTACATCTCGACATCGCCGTCGCTTAGTCAATATAATGGTTCCTTTAAATGCTCGTCTCCGCTCCTCTTTGGAACATAATGGCTGAACCCATTTTCTGGTTTATGTCTTCTATAACACTTTCTAGAATTTGGGATTCACACTTCATTTTATTTGGTTTGGCCCCTAAGTTACCGAAATGGAACCTCATAATCCAATGCTACTTACGCGTGATAGCACTATCCCCGACGATGTATTTGGATCTCTGATACAAAGATATGGCACGACTTTGCTTGCGGTTGCACTTTGTTGTTTAAATTAATTTTATAAATGTAAAGATAACTGTCGTAATAATTGAACTGAATAATTAAACTGCCTCCGTGGCCGAATGGTTACCATGCCGGACTGCCACGCAGAGGTCCCAGGTTCGATCCCCGGGCCGGGAGAAACATTTGTATGGCTTGCATTTGTTTCTCTCGTGAGTTTGGGTGTGATTTGTGGTTGTCTATGTCTGTGTCAATGGCACCCGCGACACAGGGTATGCTGAGTGTGTGCGTTTAAAAAAATAATTGAGCATGATGATTATCACTTCGAAAGAAGGATGGCGACATCCCGTGTATTTTGTCACCTAGTGTTTTTGACCACGTGCTTTAAAGAGACCTATCAATACTTGTGATTCATTATCAAAGCATTCGAAAAGCTTCTTTATTCCCGACTTCTAAAAATACACAAAAATATATTAATAACTAGGCATAAACTATAACGTAAAATTATACTAGCAAAGTCCATGAACGGCTCTTCGTTGATTTGGGTCAGCTTTCGCTGTCCTTCTTTGCTATATAGTAACCTAAGCCACTTTCTATTAGATCCTCAAGCCACATTTGTTGCTGCGTTCCCTTGGGAATTTACACCAACGCGGCATATAATATTTGTTGACTGGGTCAGTTTGTTTAACTCCGGCTATATATAATCCACACAATCTGGTCTAATCAATGTGATCACTTTTGAGGCGACTAATAGAAGTATAGCATATTTAAACGACTATCGTCACGAATCACTTCCTTGCGCAGTACTTACCTAAATTGACTTACAGCTAGCCCCTAAAATACTTCTTTCCATGCCCAAATGTTAAAATTTATTTAACTTTTATTTTAGTAAAAAAGACCCTTATTTTCCTCAAATGATTGGTCGCATAACACATCTACACATAGGTGATGATATAACCTATTTTTGAAAATTGTAACTTCCGTCATTTACAATAAAGCGTTCAATTTGGCAATTTAAAAATATTAATTGTAAAGCTTAATTTGTTGCTGAATGTAAAAAAATATGTAAGTATTTAATAATTTAAAACTTTTTTTAATGAACTAATGTAAATAAACTTTTTAACCGACTTGAAAAAGGATGAGGTTCTCAATTCGACTGTATTTCGCGATAACTCAAATTTGTGAACCGATTTTGATGATTCTTTTTTGTTAGAGAAACAGTACTTCAGTATTGGTCCTATTTAAATATGAAGAACATATTCCACCTTCAAGGGTGGCAAACTAGGGGATGAATCCGGTTTCGCGCACTTTCCGATAAACGATTTCAATAAGACTTGGCAGATAGATGTAATTCCACGAATTTTTGAAGTCGGTTTTTTTCGTACTCTGTACTGAGATTATTCATTAAAAGTAACGGTGGAAGTGTTAGAAACATGTACTCTTCGAAGAGAATGTACAGGAGGTATATAACTCAAAATAAACTGAATTGAGTACAATAGATTAATAATAAAGCTGCGGGATCCCAATATTATTCACCATAAAATAAAGATATTGCCAATAAAGGAAGTGTCTAATGAGAGTACATGTTGCTTGTTTCAGCGCATCACGTGTGGGTTGGACGCGCGGTGATGTCGGCATGGAGGCGGTGGTGCCGCTGGCGCTGGTGTGCGCGCTCGCGGTGAGCGTTGGCGGCGTGGGGGGCGCACCCAACTCCACGCGCCGCAGAGACGCACTACCCGACGAGCCTATCCTTCCTGATGAGGAGGACGACATCGACCACCGCCTCGATTACTATGACGAGGAAAGACTTAATATTTCCGGTGAGTTCTACTGCCAAACGCGGCGAGCATTGCTATTATCACATTTGGTGAACGTAGGGCCCCCTATGGAATAATATATTCTTTATTGCTATTTCTAGAACAGAGAGTCATTGCCAAGCCACCGTGGCAATTATAGTCATATCTCGAAATATGGTCTGCTCTCCTTCTCATGTCCATTTCGGTAACTTGGAGATACGGGCACCTAAAGTTTTATTGTTCTCAAAAAATGTCAATTACGGTGATTTTGTTTAACAATAGAACTGAAACTAAATAAGACGTTAAAAAACGGATTAGAGGAAGTTGTAAATCTCGTTCGTTCGCTGATCCCAAATATGTTAATAACTCAATTTTCCGAAATGTCGATTATGTTACTTAGTGTTGTGTAGCTATGAGAATAATAATTACCTCCCGAATCCATTTCATTGTAAAAATGCCTTACGAGCCGCTTTACGCAGGATGTATCCACCTTTTCCGCGTATTTAAAATATTCGCAATAACAATAGCGATCGCTATAAAACGTATCATTTTTTATAACTCGTGCATATTTGAATGGATTCTGAAAACTCTCCTTCATGAGTTGTATTTCAGCAGAGGTTTTGACTGCATTTGAAGGCACAACGAAGCTGTGACATTTATATTTTTATGCGTGCCAATACCGCAAGATATATGCTAAACAAAATTTACATGTCAGGATGACAGCATTCAATTGCGTTAGTAGAAAATTGAATTCACCAACCCGTTCGTAACATTTTCGCAACACCCTCTATAGGTACTCTTCCGCCTACTCTTCTTGTAGCACTGACATCTTTTAACGACAAGTTTAAACAAGGTAACCCAACCTGTATTACGGAAATGCGGTGATCAAACGTCTTGTAAACACCGCCTTTGAAACACCCTCATTAAATTACTTGAATGTTTAATACATAATTTGCTTTACGGAAGCCAAAAGGGCTAAAAGGGTCTTAAATTGTCCGATGTTCTATTAGTCATGCATACATGAAACTGGAAATGTTACGTTACAAGAATAACTTTGGCTTAGAAAAACGTAAATTATAGATTTCAAACTCCCTGTAACGCACTGCAATAAAGTTGAAATTTATTTATTTATTTCAAATTTACAATGTAAAGTATTAAGTCTTCTGAATGGAGCCATCCTAATAAACAATAGGTCTCTTTTTAGGTCTCTTTCCACGAGTTTTGACGAGGCAAAGCGAGTCTTGTATATTATGTTGTATGATATTTCCGTTATTGACAAATTTTCAAAACTACTCATATTTCCGATAATTTATATACAAATTGAACGTGTATCGTAATTTGGAAACTTCATTGTGTTCAATATGCTTACAAAGTATCATGTTAATACCGTGCCAAAATAGTGGCCGTGTTCGTGTTATTAAAGTTTATAAAGGCAACGAGGCCCCTATTGCACGATTGGGTATGGTTCTGGATAGATACCAATTTTGGACTCAAACGACCGCAAATTTATACATAAGGTTTGTTTGCTACTACTATTTCATTCGAAGGAACTATAGTAAACTTTATATCGATTTATAATGCCTCTGATTTCCACCAAGTCTTTTTTAATACCAAGTGGCGGGACGAAAAAATCATGCGTCTGGTGGGAAGCGCCTGTCTATAAAAGTTACTGTGCCACTCAGAAGAGAGACGCAATGATCAGAGGATAACTGCCACTGCGCCCGTCACCCTGAGACATAAGTTGACAAGTTCCATGTAATTTCACCAGCACCCTTACCCTTCAAAATGATATTAGGTGACGGAACAAACAAGTCTGGTGGTAAGTGACACGCCTGTCCACAACAGTTGCAGTGCCACTCAGTGCTGTAAAGCGCAAAGATCTGAGGGGCACTGCCACTGTACCCGTCATCTTGAGACATAAGTTGACAAGTTCCATGTGCCTATAATTTCATCAGCACCCTTACCCTTCAAAACTGGAATGCAGTAATGCTCACGTTACTGCTTGGCAGCAGAAATAGACAGTATATCCCAGGACGAACTCTTTCACAAGGAGTTCTACTGCTGCTAAATAAAAAAGTATTTATATGAGAGAATATTTGTAGTAGATATGTTTGTGGAAACAGTTATTGTTGGAGATGGTTTATTCAATTTCCTGATGCCTGAAGAAAATTATTCTAAAATCGATCACCTGGTTTCACATTGGCACTATGCCAGCGACCTAGTCGACTCCGCTCATGTCTAGCACCGCCAAGTCCGAATACTACGTAATGAAACTACCAAATTGAAAACTATTTCTACCCACCCGTCCTTTATATTGTAACATTGTTATTCAAAGAACGCTTTATAACTTTGATATTGAAAGCCGTTTAAATTATTCACCAGAGTCACAATTTTAAAGTAATAAGGCGTTTTTTACCACAGCAAACATACAACCACGATGCAAAATTGTATATAACGCCAACGTTGGGAAAGGTCAATGACTCAGCAGAATGCTGATGTTTCAGTGACATTAAATTTAATTAAATTTTTGAGCTCTTAGGTTTTCGCGATTGTGACACATCATAAGAAATGAAACAATTTTTCCGGATTTATTTCCAAACAAACCAAAGTTTAAGGCCCTTTACAGGTCCCATGGTCACGGTTTACTGAGGTGGTAAAGTCATCAACTACACATAGGTACATAACATTTTAGGAAATGAAACAAACAACTCAGTCAGTCAGAGGTCAGTCAACCGTGACCATGGGACCTGTAAAGGGCCCGAAACGTCGGTTTGTTTGAAAAAACAAATATACGCGATTTAAATCCAGAAAAATAGTTTCATTTCCTATGTGTAACAATCGCGAAAACCTAAGAACTCGATATACATAACATTTTGTTTGAAAAAACAAATGTACGGAAAAATAGTTTCATTTCCTATGAATAAAATTGGTTGTACAGGGTCAAGGGCTCATAAAGCTGACACTCAAGATTTAAATTGAATTTAATTCCGCTTGCGAAAAGATATATAATTTATCCTTGTAATGTAATATTATTCATAAGTATTTTAATAATAATAAGGAATGTTGTGTTTTTAAGTGGATTCTCAATTGTTTACAATTGAAACAAGAAGTTCACAGCCGAGTAATACAAAAAGTGACGAAGAAGGAATCTTGGTATTAGCTTTAATTATTTGCACTTACGAAGTAGTGGAACTCTTATTTAGTAGCAGTAGAGCTCCTTGTGAAAGAGTTAATCCAGAGAAGTACTGT